CCCCCCAACCCCACCTCCTTCAGTTACAAATATCTCGACTTCTATTCAAGACAGATGGGTATTTCTGTCATCAAAAGCAATACAAATGCGCCCGATTCCACCATGTCGTGACACAAATAGAAACGTTCCGATTCTTGACACGAGAGAGTAATCTGTGTTGGTACACATGAGGGGGAGGGGGGATGGAGTTGGCAGCTGTTGCGTTATATATTTTTGTCAAATAAACAAACAGGTGTTTAACTTTAGCAGTGGATTATGTATGCTTATCTGTTTAATAGAAAACAACAGTGAAACATAACAACACCCAATAATTATGAAATACTCCTGTTGGGAGTTGACGCACACACTAAACATTCCAGTTTTCTATCGCTTCCTCCATAGCTCTTCATTCTCTCTCTCTTTCTTTCTCTCTCTCTCTCTCTCTCTCTCTCTCTCTCTCTCTCTCTCTCTCGTGCTCTCTCTCTCTGTCTTTTTGTCTCGGTTTCTGTATCTTATCCTGTCTCTCCCTTCTTATTCTCTCCTTCTCACTCTCTCTTTCTATCTATCTCTCTATTTTTCTATCTATCTATCTATCTATCTATCTATCTATCTATCTATCTATCTATCTATCTATCTATCTATCTATCTATCTATCTATCTATCTCTTTCTCTCTCTCTGCCTCTCTCTCTCTCTCTGTTTCTCTCTTTCTCTGTCTCACTGTCTCTCTGTCTCGGTCTCTCTGTCTCATCCTGTCTCTCCCCTCTTACCTCTGTGTGTTGAAGAGCCTGTTGAGGGTACAGAAAGAAGGATGTTGTGAAGTGCACAGAGCTAGCCGCTGACCGAGCAGGGTGTGTGCTATACAATAACTCGATATTTCCTGTTTATGACAATTGTGAGGCAGCGTGGAGAAATCAGGCACTCGTCAAAGTAATCAAAGTGAAGAAACTGGCATTTTCCCGCCGGTTTGGGAATATTTATCGAATTCTTGTTGGGTTTTTTTTTGGCTCAACACCTATCATGCCTATGTATATAAAGAACACATTTCTACGGGGATTTTTTAAAACTGAAAATCGCTGATTAAAGGCACAAAAAATGTATTGTGAATTTCCATTTTCTACGGACTCTCAAGCTAAGGAAATAACTAATATTTGGTAGCCATTTTCTCGCTAATTTTACCTCTGAAATCAGCCCCCCCGCCCCTCCTGCAGTCGCGATTATCTTGACTTGTATTATAGATAAATAGATTTTTAAAAATCCGAAACAAGACAAATAAACGAGCTGTAAGATGAGTCCGACATCTCTACATGCCTAAAAATTGACGAGAGCCTGATTCCATCTCGTCCTGACACAATTAGTCGTGGCGTCGGTGGTCTAGTGGTTAGGCTACCGGACTCGTAATCGTGAGATTGCGAGTTCGAGGGTTCGAGCCTCAGCTCGGCCCGACGTTGAGTCCTTGAGAAAGGCATATACCCACGAATTTCCCATTTGACTGGGTCCTTTCGGAGATGGACGTTACCCTCAGAGGTCCCGCCTCTTAATTAAGCAACGTAACAGTGTTGATAGGGCCGTTAAACACATATCATTTCACAATTTTTAGGACAATTACCTGGACAGATTGTTTTCTCCTTTGATTGTTTCGTAGCAGTAAATATCCGCCGTCGGCTTGCTAGGCCACCTGACCAGCCAGCCTCAAGAGCCTACAACACCAAGCACTCTGGCTATAAAGGAAGAGGAAGGCCACGCAAAAGGTGGGTCGAGGGTGTCAAGGAAACCCTAAGAAAACATAACATCATAACCGAAAGAGCTGCAGAGCTGGCCTACCATAGAAAACTGCATCTCCCCTCGACGCTAAACGGCAACAGAGGATGAACAAGTAAGTAAATTAAGTAAGTACCTGGACAGATGGGCGTATGTTCAGCCGCCGCCCACCAGGCCACCGTCTACACACTGTGCCGTCTTCACGCCCTCGACATATCGCAGCCTCACTCTGTATCACATTTTGACCTATTCGAGCCGTCACGGCAGAAATATTCGCCTCGGGGATGCCGACTATCGTCAGATTGAAAGAAGTAGCAGAAAACCGAATATCCTCGGTGAGTCGAATTTGTCGATCCTCGGGCTGGGAGCTGTCGTCCTCGTAGTCTCTCCACAGGACGATTCCGACCACCACGAGGATGACTGCCATCAGGGCGAAGCAGACCAGGCCGATGACCACTCGCTTGTTGCAGGACATGGTGGACTGACCACTGCACGAGGAGGAGGAGACGAGGGAGTGGGTCTATCTGATGTGCTGGACAAAGACCTGCGGATAGAGGTAAAAACGGGAAAGGGGGGGGGGAGAAAAATGTATGTGAGGGGGGTAAGTTGGGTTTTTTTTCCGCTTACAAATTTATGTACAGGTAGTTCTCGAAATCAAAGTGTCAAAAAGATAGTGAAAGTGAACGAATTTGGTCCTCACCTACCTTAAGATATTATAACTACACAGCGGGTTTAGTACTATGCTTTTTTCCTGCCTCCCCAGACATCGAAAATACTCTATACAACGACAAAACACTAGATCTAACTGATAAACATCTGTAAATTCTTTGCCATATCGGCAAGCCAAAGGGCTAGAACTCGAATGGCCGCTGGATCGGAAAAGTAAAGTTAAGTATATAAAGTACTATGCTCTGAGAGCTTGCTTTTGAGCGGGGGTATGCGCTATACAAATGCTATTTATTATTTATTATTATTATTACTATGCTCTTTACAATTTTCAACTCATGATGACGCAGTTGTGCACTCCCAGGTTTTCGCCCAACGAGCCGGCCCTGCTGAGATCACCAACGGCTTGAACCCACACCAAGCAGATATCCGCCAAAGGTAGCAACATCAACGCCCATCTTTGCTAAATAACTCGAGATATGTCGGGATGGTTCTTATGAGACGAAGCACAACTCTCATGATTGAAGCAAAAAGAATAAATGTGTCATGACGCAGTGGAATCAGGCGCTCGTCAATTTAAGGGCATCTACAGTTATTTGTGTCATCGGGAAGCTGATTTATATGCTTTGCTTTCAAAGAAATAAATATCCATCTATCTTGAATATAGCAAAGACATTTGTGATTTACGGAAGTGAGATCGCTTGGTTTCAGTGGTGAAATTAGAGAGAAAATGGTCTCCAAAATTTGGTAACTTTAAAATTTAAAGAGTCTTTGAAAACAAAAAAATAACAGAATCTGTGACTTTAATATCAATGTTTTTGAGTAAAATTCATATGGACATGTGTTTTTATATCTGCGTAAAAGAAGCCCAAAAATTAAAATTCGATAGAAATAACCAAACTTTCGAAAAAATGCCTGTTCATTCTATTTCTGTACTTTAACGAGCGCTTGATTTCACCACGCTGCCTCACAACTGACAATATCAACCGCTATCCGAGAACACAACAAACCACAACCTTCCGCCTGCGAACAAAGCACATACCGTTCAACGTCCAGTTACATCACAGAATCAGACCAGAGATCTCCCCCCCCGGGAGTCCTATGCTTCCAAAGGCTCAGACTTTGAATGAACTTTGGCGACCCTAACTACCGTCGATGCTCACACGCGCAGGTTAACTGACCGTCACGATGACGAGTCCAACAAGCTGACAATCGGACGACGCTTTTCTTTTTTCTTTCACAAGTGACAGCACAGAGACAAAATTTGATTTATTTGCTTGGCGACACAGCGTTTATAGTGGACGATCTGCATGTCACAAATGTCGCCTTCTCAGACTACCACCGGCCAGGTTCTGGGTGGTAACGAAAGCGAAAGTACAATGTAGATCTTGATATTCTCGATCGAGCCATGGTGTCACACTCTTCCGGGCTGCGCCGGGGAACAGCGACTAGTATTTTACTATATTTCTTTGTTACAGTTGAACTTGATGTAATCGCCCACAGTATATGAAGTGTATATCGAATACAATTAGACCAAGCATGTTACATTTCGTCTCGATTTTCAGTAAGCTTAACTAGAGCTCAGTCAAATCTCCCGCCATTCTGTTCATAAGGAGGAACAAGAAAGAGATAAGTTGATCACAGCGAACGGCAAGGAGCTGTCGTAGGGAGAATTTTAAAGAAAAATTTCTTTTAAAATGCTGTCAGCTCAGTAGCAAGTTTGAAAACAGTCTCCAGAATGTTCTTAGAGTTTGAACTCTTCAGGTGGATGTCATCATTCTCAGTTTAAATACTGCGATTGCAATTCTCCATTTCATCTTTGTTTTCCCATTTGATATTGTTTCTCCATGATTGTTTTATCATACTCCTACA